ATGTTAGGTAACTGTTAAAACTACAGTCATGATAAAAAATTAAATAAAAGATTTTTTAAAATGGAGCTACTGTAATTTTATGTCTAAACTTAACACCAATGTAAGTGATCAGGGAAGATTTTCATGTATCACAGAAATCCAATTAAATTAATTTAAAGCATCGGCTTAATTCAGGAAGTTGACTAGACTTGTAATCAGTGCTGAAACTTTTCTAACACCTAATTAACTAGAAAAGTGGTACACAAAATTGTTTCCAATTCATTTACTAGCACAATCTCCAAAGGCATTTTCAATTAGCTACATTTTCTTTGAATTTACACAACTTTTCAAAGTTAGATAAAGCTTCGGAATAATGGTTATAGCTTTGGTGAAATTTTTTTTGAAGGATTTTTATTCCTTGACAAAGAAATTTTTAAAATTGAACGTCTTTAACAATAAGAATACTGTCTGGCTGGTATGGCTTGGTGGTTGAGCAATGACCTCTGCACCAAGAGGTCGCTGGTTCAATTCTTGGTCAGGGTACATGTCCAGGTTATGGGCCTGATCCCCAGTGGGGGGCATGCAGGAGGCAGCCAATTGATGTTCTCTTTCATCGATGTTTCTATCTCTCTCTTCTTTTCTCTCTAAAAATCAATAAAGAAAAAAAATGAAAAAACAAAACTATGAATGCTATCTAATAACCATATTCAGATATTGCAGGCAAATAGAGTAAAATTATATATATTAGGAGGAGAGAGTTAGAAGTAACTTTTCTGAGTGGGAAAGATTCTCTTTGTAATTGTGGTAAATTTAGACAAAGCATTATATGCTTTCTATTAACAGTATGTTTCAGAGGAAATTTTGAAATTACATGAAAGGAAATGAAGAGGGAGAAGCAGATCATTATTATGCTACTCTTTTGCCTTTAAAGGAAACCAAAAAACTTAAGAAACTGAGAATACAGTCCTGCATCAACTGGAATAAAAATCAGGAAGACTCTTCCTAGTGGCAAGGCTACCGAGAATGATCAAGGGCGAGCCAACAACCATGAAGACGCCTCCTGGAACCTTGGCTGGCTGGCGTTCACAAGGACTGAATTAGTCTTGATTTTTAAAAAATTTGCTAATAAGCTCCTGTACCCATTTTCTTTGGTGCCCATTTGAATCTTTAACTACTCTCCTCAGCTCATCCTCCCTGTACCCTTCTCTTTGTACATGATTCTACTTCAAGGACAAAAGAAACCATCCAGGCTAATATCAATATATAATGAACTCACACAATTCAATAGAAAAAAAAAATGTGCAGAGGAACTGAATATACATTTTTTTTTCCGAAAAAGACATACAAATGGCCAAGAGGTACATGAAAAGATGCTCCCCATCACTCGTAACCTGGGAAATGCACATCAAAACCTCCATAAGAATAGCTATCATCAAAAAGACAAGGGCTAGCACGTGCTGGCGAGGATGTAGGAAAAAGAGAACCCTGCTGAACTGTGGGTGGCAATGCATACTGGTGCAGCCACTGTGGAAAACGGTATGGAGGTTCCTCAAAAAGTTAAAAATGGAACTGCCTTCTGGCCCAGCAATTCCACTCTGGGTATTTATCCAAATAAAACAGAAACAGGAATTTGAAAACATACATGCACCCCCATGTTCAATGCAGCATTATTTATAACCAGATATAACAAGATATGAAAAAAATTAAAGTGTCCATTGACAGACAGATGGATAAAGAAAATATGCACGATGGAATATTATTCAGCCATAAAAAGAAGAAAATCCTGCCTTTTGTGACAACATGGATGAACCTTAAGGGCACTGGCTAAGTGAAGTAAGTCACAAAGACAAATACCATATGGTCTCACTTATATGTGAAATCTAAAACAAAAACAATAACAACAACAACAAAAAAATACCCCACCAAACTCATGGAAACAGAGTCTAGATGGTGTTTGCAGAGGTGGTGGTAGGGACTCTGGGAATGGATAAAGGTGGTCAAAAGGTACAAACTTCCAGTTGTAAGATTCGTACATTCTGGGACGTACTGTGGAGCATGGTGACCATAGTTAACACAATATTGTCTATTAAAGTTGCTAAGAGAGGAGATCTTAAAAAGTTCTCATCACGAGAAAAAAAAGGTGTAACTATGTGAGGTTTTGACTGTTCATTAAATTTATTGTGGCAATCATTTCCCGACATGTATACGCAATCAACTCATTATGTTGTACACCTTGCACTGAAACAATTTGTATGTCAATTGTTTTCAATAAAACTGGAAAAACATTTTAAATAAACAAACAAAAAAGAAGCCACCTAGGCCCACCCACCCTCATAAAAGTCAAGTCCATCTTATATCCTCCCTGAAGACACAGAGGATAGACAAATTCTGCCCGGGACTTGTCCTCCCGTGTACACAACTGATCCTCTTCTGTCCTTTGTAAGGGCCTCGCTCGATTAGTCCTTGCCTCTCTGACTCCCAGATGGCTTTTGGAGTATAAACAAGGCTCAATATTCACCACCTTTTAGACAAAACAAGTAAACAACTAATAATAACCTCTCTCTCTCATGCTCTTTGTTGAACGGTTAACTTCCATGCACATTTAAATCCTGAGAATTACTTCTGCCAACCCCACCGTGACACCAGAGTCCTGGGTACAAGCCCAAAATGCAATCTAATTGCCACGTGTCTTTCTGGGGCCGTAAGTGGGCTGTGGAGTCGTTGAATCCTGAGTGGTTCGCCTATGAAAAGGGGAATTTGGAGACAGTGTCGCCCCAGGAGGTCATGAGAAGATGAAGATGGCCACCTACAAGCCAAGGGGAAGGCCCAGGACAGCTCTGTTTCCACAGCCCTCGGAAGGGATGAACCAGGCAGAGCAGCCGCCCAGGGACCCTGCTGAACGGGGTGGTTCACTGCCAACCTCCCCAACTCACAGCCCCTCCACCCGCTTCCACCTTGGCCCATCATAAGAAGGTTCTGCATATCAGATGTTGAGTTGAAGTCATATGAATGGAGCCCACCTCCAACCACCTGTCTCTCTCCAACCTTTGTCACAACATTCTGTAACTATCGCTTAACACCTTTTTATCTACCACCAGCTCTGAGCTCCAGGAGCTAAGGACCTAGTACCTACCTTCCCATCTGGAACACGTACCATTTAGAAAGTCCCCAAAATTATCTAAAGAAAAGGAAACAAGGAGGGAGGCTGGAAGAGGGCCATTTTTGTGCAGCAGGAGGAAGGTGGGGTGGGAGGGAAGATTTGCAGAACACAGTGAGGTGAAAATGATAAAACGAAAGATCGCCCAAATTCCGAAATTCTCATTTGATTTTATATAAAACAGTAATTATTTGTGCAAAGGTTAACACTGTGTTTAATTAAATGAAATACGAGTTCTTTCCTGTATCTACCCAAACTCTTTTTTAAAAAAAATTTCTTTTCTTTATCGGTCTTTAGAGAGAGAGGAAGGGAGAGAGAGATACAAACATCGATGAGAGAGAACATCGATTGGGCGCCTCCTGCATGCCCCCACTGGGGATCAGGCCCACAACCTGGGCATGTGCCCTGACTGGGAATTGAACCAGCGACCTTTTGGTGCGTGGGTCAATGCTCAACCACAGAGCCACGCCAGCCGGGCTCTACCCAAACTCTTAAAATCTACAAAACACATGTCATGATAGCTCAGTCTTCCCATTTGTCTCAAGGGACAGCCCTGATCCTCACAATAAGATTGTATAATTTACATATCCTAAGAAAAGAAAACCTAGAGCAATAGTACTGAAGTCATCCGATGCATGGGCTAGGGCCTTGCCAGGTAATGGGGCATCATCACACAGGTAAATCATTTATCTCATGATACACCAAACAGGTGCTGTTATTTTCACATTACAGTGGAGAAAATCGAACTTCAGAGAGGTTAAGAGGTTTGAATGCCTTGGAGCTGTGAATAAATTGAAGAAGAAGGTGAGGTAAGAGGCAGAAATATTAGATTTGCTCTTTTGAAAATGCTTCTGTGGAGGAAATGCAATCTTAATCAGCAACAACAAATACTTACTCAGCAGTTAGCTCTTGGAGCCCAGCTCTGTTTTTCCTGTAATAGAAATTTTATCAGAAGAAAGAGTAGGCATCACTTCACAGACCTTCGGACGGTAATTTTTTTAGAGATCTGGGCCTTTGGAATAATTTATTCCCTGAACACTTATACATCTAGGATGGCAAGAAGAGTAATTGTTAACTATTTAATATCTAATACAGCTAGCATACTCTTTTCCTGGTTAAACATGATACAGTAAAGAGTTTCCTTCCTTGTGTGCATATAATTTGGAGGGATCTTGGACAATTAACAGGTATTGATTCGGGGGTAACACTCTGGTGCCCCTCACCCAGGACCTGTATGTGTCCTGTCTCATTCTGCCCAGCTAGAGTTCCCATTCACACTGGCTTCTTTTGTTTACCTGGCTTTACTTTTTACAGATGTTTTTATGTGCCCATCCTTCTGCTACTTTTAGAGCACCTGGAATAACATCTGTTTAATCATAGAACCACGAACGAGAGAGATACAAGAGATCTTTATGTCCACTGCCAATACTTTCTAACGTATGCCCAGAATTAAAACACTGGGTTGTAACAATGAAAATACTTGTTGCATCCAAGTAGTGCACTATCAATCATTTCCGACTCTTTTTCTAAAAAAACAATTTTAATGGTTCATATTACCTTGGTAATAAATAAGAAAAAGTATTATAGTATCTGGCAATTGTGACATCTTCGCTTTGATGACATATACTTGTTATGTATATATGCCTTATTTGACAACAAACACATTTTTATGTCCAAGAAATGCGATCAGGAATAAAACTTCCATTTATAATGTGCCCCTAAGGAAAAATGTCACTTATTTATCCACGGTCTGTATTGTGACTGCTTTCTACCTGGTTTGGATGAAAAGCAGAGATTTCTTATCCTTCTGACGTTATTTTTCGGGACTTGCCGTGGGGAGGCAAGCGATACGCAAGGGACTTACCCACTCCTCCTCGTCGTAGTCTGAGTGATGGGGTATGGAGTCCTGCCTCCTCATCGGTGGCAGTGGGTCCTGGGGACAGCTCTCCTCCGTGCTGCTCTTAGGAGACGGTGGCTTTTTAAGGACACTGCCAGGCCTGGCCGTGTAAAGTGCTAACAGAGCGCTTCTGACCAGCTGATCCTTAAACGCGTGAACAAAAAGCTCCGTCTGGAAAACAATGACAGGGATTAGAAACGTCATGGTAGGCATCTTGGCGCAGGGCTGTGGAAAGTCAACTGCAGATGTGTTGGCACTTCAGAGAGAGTGACTCGTACCGATCAACGGAACCTGGTTTGGTTTGGGGGTGTTGCCAAGCCCCCGAGTCGTCCTGCTCTGCAAGTCAATGCTGAGGTTCCGTGTGCAAGTCCCACCGCCTGTCTCCCCGGCTCCCTTTCTCCTAGTTTCGCGTCCTACCTTCGGAGATGAATTTCGCTGGGAATTATCATTTGAACACTATCTACCTTTCAAGTAATCCCAAATAGACCTTAAAAGAGAATGTAATCAGACTATGGATAGTCTGTATTTTAAACAGAGTTAAAGGCTAAAGAAAGACATGCCATTTAGAAAACTAGAGGCCCGGCCAGTGTTGCTCAGTGGTTGAGCATCGGCCCACGCACCAAGAGGTCGCCGGTTCGATTCCCGGTCAGGACATATGCCCAGGTTGTGGGCCTGATCCCCGGTGGGGGGCATGCAAGAGGCGGCCAATTGATATTCTCTCTTATTGATGTTTCTATCTTTCTCTAAAAATATATAAAGGGAAAAAAATTTAGAAATAAACTAGAGGCAGGAGACTTTTTTTTTTCTTTTTAGCATCATGGACAGATTTCAACAGTGAAGATGACATAGACAGTCTTCCCCATGAAAACATTTAGCTTTTATTCCTTATTGTCACCCCCTAATTGTCTCCTCCACTGAATGGTTTCAGTAATGCTTGATATTAACAAAGTTACTGTAAAATCTTGGTAGATTTTACAAGCTGATGGTAAGTACCTAGTGAGGGCTGGAGTAATGACAGCTTCACAACTGTACTTTTCAATTTCCTGATGAGATGTTTCATAACTCCACCCTGTAATACACTGTAGGGGGCAGTAATTAACTTTCTGTACCACAGTACACGAAACATGCACATGGTCTCACAATCTATTCGAAGAGCAGTCAAGTAACTCAAGCATTGATCTATATTGTGGTCATTTCTACTCTGTAATCTCTTAGGAAGGCGTCCTTTAACTCATAGCATTATTTTCTTCTTCTCTTTTTTAATCCTCACCCAAGGACATTTTTCTGTTTATCTTCAGATAGAATGGGAGGGAGAGAGAAACACTGGTGTGAGAGTGACATATCACTTGTTGCCTCCTGCACAACCCCAACCTGGGCCAGGGATGAACCGCAACCCAGGTATGTGCCCTTGGCCAGAATCAAATCTGCAACTCATTGGTCCGTGGGCCGACATCTAACCACTGGGCCAGGCTGGCCAGGGCCATAACATTATTTTCAATAACAGCTGATACAATCACCATTTAATGAGACTCTTGGATACATGCTGACTTCACTAGAGCTGTAACTCTGGGTAACCATTTATTGGTGTGCTCTCCATGTGCAGTCAACACGGCTGTGCCTAACTGGTGGCTACTCCACCGACTCTAAATCTCCCTCTTGTGTCCAAGCAATGAAAGAAAATCAGTTAAACCACGTGTCAAACAAGGACCTAATTAGAGGATGTCCTATCTGCATAGCTCTTCTTTGCAATAGATCACGGAGTTCTAGAACTGAAAGGGACTTTAGAGCTAAGCTTCATTCACCAGACAAGGAAACTAAGAAACAAGAGTGGTGACCTGCCCAAGGCAGACTGCTTATTAGCCGCACGAATGGAACACACCCCAAGCTTCCTAACAAATTCAGTAGCTTTTCCACTTACTCCACACCACCTTCCGGCCACCGTCCTTCCCCTTCTGTCCTTCCCCTTCTGTCCTTCCCCTTCTTCCCAACCCCATATGCCCCAAGAGTTTTGATCAGCTACCAGCTCTCAGAATTCATTGTGTCCACAAGTGCCTGTGTAACGGATTTCACTGCTGAACTTTACTGGAGGTATTAAACACTCTTTTAACCTATCGGTCATATGGAAGGCACTTTAATGGTGAGTATACAAGAAATATGGGGAAAAGATTATATGAGAATAAAAGGTTGGAAAATATTTTGATAACAAACTGGGAAAGCAAAATAAAAAAGCACCTTTGTATTTAAAAAAGCACTGGAAAAAAATTGGATTGACAGTATTCAAACAAGTCAGTATGGTTATAGCAAAACGAGGGAACGTGGTGTTTATATAACTTTCCATACAGCATAGATGTGTCTATCAATGTTAATGTAAATATTAAAGATGTGAATTTACTTTCATTCAACTCAACGAAACGATTCTCTGTTGATGATTTCAATAAACTCTTTTGATTTATTTTTAGAGCAAAACTGCTTGCCTTCTTTGAATTCCTGCTACTCCAGTTCTAGTCCCCACCATACTCACATAATTACCATGTAGCTAAATATCTATTGGCTCGCAATGACATCTTGCACGGTTCTGTAATTGCAATCATTTTTTTTTCCATGGCACATGCACACAGAGATTCCACTTCACTTATTCAGATCTCGTTTGAGTCGATTTATCACCAAGACGTGGGAGATAATTCAGCAGATTCTTACAGTTTTACAACACAGAATTTTTGGGTTGTAATATCATATAATACACAAATTATAATATATACAAAATCTTAAGCAAACACAATAACTGATCTTTTACTTTGTATGTATATTGAAAAACTTATCTGACCCCTGGGAAACTCTCTAGATCACCAAGATCCTGTATACAGAATTGCATTTGGCTAAAAAAGAAAAAAAAGAAAAGAAAAGAAAATATTCTCTACATGACCTGGGGAAAAATTCTTAATTTTCTTGAGCAGCATTACTTAGTATAGACCAATGTAGACCCTGATGTTTTACAGTCAAATAAATAAGCTTATAGAGATGAATATGGTCCCACAATTCCAGCACACCTATATTTTGTTGTACTTGCAACTGAGAGGATACTAGGGAAGCTAAAAGTCATGGCTAGGATTTAACGATGCCTCTGAGTTGCCTGTCGCCTTGGAGTTCTGAAAATCTTTTTCCTTTTCTGACTCAGCTCACATTACAGTAAGTGAAAAAAGAAAGGTTGTCTAAATGTTATTGTAAGGGTAGGCAAAACAATTCATTTAAAATACCAGTTCAATATTATACTAAAAAAGCATAAACTTCAGCAAAGGCAAACCTATTTCATTTGTTTGATATTTAAAAAGAGAGAAATGTTATCTGAAAAGTGAAGTGCTTTCTTGCCTTACTGACATTTCTCCAACTCATATTCGCACATATGTATTCTTCAAAGTAACTTACACAATTATCTGCAAATATAAAGCTACAAAAAAATTACTTTTCCTGGGAATAAATTTCCTAGTTTTCTGAATATTAATGGCAGAGGAATACTTAGGATACGTTCATTTAAAACGACTCTTTTTAATTAGAGATCTCAACAAATTCATCAAAGCCCCAGTCTATGTAGAATGACCTACTGTCACTGAAAAAATTCAAAGCTATGTCTAAACCCACCTGCAATATGGAATTAGCCAATGGCATAAACACTTGATTAGCATTTTAGTTGTCATCTATATGGCGAGAAACAATCCTGTTTATTTTTTAATGTTATAAGCTTTCATTATTTCATAGGGTAATAGTTCTGTATCCTGACATTAGTGCATTGATTGTGTTTACACATCTCACATAACATTTCTTAAAACAAAGGACATCGGACTTTGAGCCAAGAGTGTTACTTGATATCTGGGCAGCCCAGAGAAACGAGTCACTTGACCTTGGATTGATCACCTAAGCAACCACTTTCCCCGTTTGTACAATGTGCAGTGCCTACCTGGGCAGCCCTACGGGAGTTCATTGTAAACTGTCAAGAGCACTTTTCTATTTATGCTTCTTTTTCTTGACTGACCTTTTCAGTTTGCTTTGTTGACTTATACTCTCCTGCTCGCTCAGAGAACCTCAAGGAGCCTTAAACTACTTTCTTGAAAGCATTTTTCCCATTGGTGATGTAACTCCATCCAGACCAGAACTTCAGCTGTTTGCCACGTGCCAAGGTCTGTAACCCCATTGCAGCTCCCTGCCTGAGCCAGCCGCTGCCAGCGGTTTGCACTCTGGAGTCATTTGAGTTTAGAAGTCCCAGCCCAATTGAAAGGGTTTTGTTTGTTTGTGTTGTTTTTAATTAAATGTGTTTTCTGCCCTGGCTCATTTGGCTCAGTGCTTAGAGCATCGGCTCACAGACCAAAGAGCTGTGGGTTCGATTCTGGTCAAGGGCACATACCTCGGTTGTGGTCCAGTCCCTGGTCCTGGTCAGGGTCATGCAGGAGGCAACCAAGTGATGTGTCCCTCTCACATGGATGTGTTTCTCTCTCTCTCTCTCTCACTCACTATCTAAAGATAAATGGAAAAATATCCTCAGGTGAGGATTGATTGATTGATAAATACATACATACATACATACATGTGTTTTTCATTTTTTCCATCTGAGCAATATCACTACTATTCAGCAACTCGGAGTCCAAACATCTGAATCACCCTCAGGATTATTTAATCTTCTGAATTACTCATCAATTTTTATTAGTTACATGCACCTTTTCAATAATTTCAAAGACTGACCCTCATTTTATATTCCCACAGCTAATCCCAGGTAAGATCCTTTCTACATTCCACCTGGAGACTTTCCATAGTTTCCTTACGAATCGATATACTTTAACTTTTCTTTTTTCAGGGTGTTTTCCAAAGCCAGCAATATTGAAATGTAGATTTCCGAGGCCCAGCTCAGAACTGATGCATCGGAATTTGTACTTGAGCAAGCTCCCAGGAAGCATAACTGACATTCTGTGATGCTCAGTAATTCCGGTGCTCTGTCCTGGCTCAGCCTGTTTACTGCAACTGGGGATGATCTTCACAACACCGGCCTCTAGCCCTTCCGCACTCAACACGTTCTCAGAACAGACTTCCTCTCTGGTAACTAGGAGTGAGCTGACCAGATCATACTGTGTTTCAGTTTTTAACTTTTTGAGACACTGTTGCACTATTTTCCAAAGTATGCAAAT